TAGGAGTGTTTTACTGAATAATTGACATGAATATGAAAAACACTACAGATAATCTGAGCAGAGAACCAGCAGTTCAGGACATGTACTTGCAGGCAGCATTGATTCAACCAATAGCGCATTACCATCTCAACTTCCCTCTTGAAAGAGATACTTCTTTCACCTTTCCTACATTCATCTCCCACGGCCTCACTAACCCTAGCTTTGCCTGTGCATATGAGAAAGTACAGATTTTGCTCCACTCTCACTATTTAACTTTCATAAACAGGCAACACCAAGGAGGGCTGAGATTGCCTACAGGCAACCTTTTTGGTCCAAATGTGGAAAAAAACATGACACAACTGACCTGTGAAGATCAACATTGTGCCAACAAACAAAATGGGGAGTGGGAGTGAGTGTTGTACTTGGTCAGAAATACTGCATGTGCTGGTTATGAATGTTGTTAAAAGGACTAAAATAAGAATGCTTCAGAAAAGCCCATAAGAAACATCAGTGGTTTTTTCTTTCGATACACATTTTGGAATGTGACTGCAATGGATGCAAATAATACTGTGCAATTTGTGCTTTGTGAGCAGGGTCTTAGTGGAGTACAAGGGGACTAGTGAGAGAGGTTCTATTCAAACTTCCACTGTCAGAACTACCCCATACCAAATTCTAATTTTATACCATTGCTGCTTATGGGAGGAGACCTCTCATCAGTACCCTGCTGGCTTCCAGTCTGCCCTTCCACCTCCCAGCCATGACCTGACCCAACTAGGTGGGCTTAGACTCGTTTTAGGGAAGAAGCAAAGGAGCTACCACTCTGGCCAGGAGTTGTCTGCCATATGTCTAGTAAATGGTAGCTTCATGACTCCCTTGGAAAGAACAAAGTAGGATTTACTACTTCCTAAATTTGTCAGTACAGCCACGTTCTGAATATTAAACTGGAATGCATGGTCATCATAGGCCACCGTAGTTGTTTAAAATAGGGTGCTTATTTCACCAATTGCTGAGTCTGAAAATATCTGTCTACGTTCCCTCACGACTAATAAGCAGTTGCAACAGGGCAGCCTTCTACCTAGTAAGGTTATATTTTCCCAATTTTCAAAGTATTGGTGCCTCCAGGTGAGAATGACATCATTACAAAACAAAGAAGCCACACTGTATAGTCTGTAGTCCAAATATGTCACATGAGATAGCTGATATTCTATACTCCAAGCCTGCCCAAAGATGTACAGTTTTATAGGTGGTCCCCTTTGCATTTTAAGCACATAGACTAATCTTCAGCCTCAGTTCAAACTTCTAGTTTTCAGAAGTCAGATTTCACAACACTGATAGGCTGGGCCCTTTCCTCAGTCATCATGAAGCATTAAAGGTGAGCATTGCAACCCTATGAGAACAGCTGCTTGGCTGGCAAAGGTACCACCCCTGCCTGCTCAGAACTTTTTGTAAAGTGTTTTTTAAAAAAATAATCTTATTTTGAAAGAAGGCCAAATGCACATTTAAGCAGGTAAGATATTCAAGACAATTTGAAAACAAAAACAGAGCAGTAGAAATGATGAGAGTCCTATAGTACCTTAAAGACTTAACAAAATTTGTGGCGGAATATATGCTTTCATGAGACACTGCTCACTTCTTCAGATACAGCTAGAATATGAGTCCATCTGTCCTGTATCTTGAGAACATCCGTGCCCTGCAGGATTTGTTATCTTTCCGCAGGGCAAGTAAGATGGAGATGTTCTGCCAAGCATCTGGCTGAGGACGGTGATGGTATAGCATGTTGTATGGCACTCTCACACTCTCCATTCTCTGCAGCCCCCCTCCAGGAAGCCTGTGAAATTTGGGATTTTTCCCACCATCTTGGATCAATTAAATTATACTGATATACTATTGGAGCTGTATTTTTTACATATTTATTCTTGGTTTTAACTTTTAATTTATTATACATTCTCTCCTGTTGTAAGTTGCCCTGAGCCTTGCTTGCAAGGAAGGGCAGCCTAAAAACCTAAATAAATATATAAATAAAAGTGGAATGATTTCAGATGCCAAATGCCAATAGGAGGTGAATGACAATAGCAGGTGTGACTGGATTAGGTGTGATATGCAGAGGGGTAGTAGAAGTGGAGAAAGCAGCACTGGTAATGAGATAGGAAACCTAGGTCTCAATTCAGTCCAGGAGGATGCATTGTCTTGAGCTTCGTTATCAATTGCAATTCAGCAAAGGAATTTCAAAGGGAGATTAAAAAGAGAGACTGCTGAATTGCAACTGATATTGAAGCTCAAGACCATGCATCCTCCTGGACTGAATCGAGATCTAGGTTTCCTGTCTTATTACCAAAGCCGATTTCTTCACTCCTACTACCCCTCTGTTTATCACACCTAATCCAATTATGCCTGCTATTATCATTTGTCATCTGAAATCACTCCACTCTTCAAGATATAGGTCAGATGGACTCACATTCTAGCTATATCTGAAGAAGTGAGCAGTGACTCACCAAAGCTCACATCCTGCCACAAATTTTGTTAGTCTTCAAGGTACTATTGGACTCTTGCTCTATTCTACTGCTACAAACAGACTAATATGGCTACCCGTCTTAATCTGAAAACAGAGCAGACAGTTTACTGTGGGGAGAAGACAGTGTATGTGTTTAAAATGCAACTACTGCAGTGGAGTATTATGTATTCCTGTCTCTCCAGTTCTCCTTCATTTTGCCTGCAAATTTAGAACAGCCCCATTAGCAGTGAGACAGAAGAAAGCAAGACAAAAATACAAAAATATAAATATAATTATGTGTTTGTATACCTTTGTAGCAGATTCTAGCTTGCAAGTTCTGATAATTCATTGGAAAGATCAGACAGTACTTCAGACATTTTAAAATGGTTACCTGAGACAAAAACAAGAGATTGGCACATCTTGATCCCCAACAGTCATTTTGCAAACAATTTATTCACAAAAGTTTCATTTCCCAAATAGGAAAGTCTCATGTTGGCTAGAAAGATTTAAAGGAAAATACATTTTCATGCATATTTGCCTTGGTCTAGATATTCATTTACCTGAAAAACAATGCAATAAGAATGAAAAATATGAGCTAATCCTGCAGTAACAAAATTTCAACATTGTCATGAACTCCTTGTAGAAGCAACTCTCCAGGATAACTAACGATCTTTCTTCGTTTTGCAGCTTTAAGAGTACCCACTAATGCTTCAAAAAGGTTGGCACATTTTTCATCAGCAAAGAGTACCCCAAACTTCACACTCAACGTCCCATCAGCATCTAAACAGAAGAAAGAGTATTACAATACAGAAATAATCCTTCCCGTGCAAAAAAGGAAAGATTTTTAATAATCAAGATCAGAAATCATTTAGGCTTAAATAATCAAGATCAGAAAAAAGTTATTCATGATTAGCTGATCCCATCCTGGAGTTATGTCTGCTGGGCGGGACAGGACTTCTGTCACACTGGTAGAACTCAAAAATACAGTTCCGTTGAGAATTTATACCACTGTTGGGCTATTGGTAGTGAAGCTCTTTTACCAGAAGATTACTTGCCACTTAAGATGTGTGTTGCTCCTGCATCTTATTGTAGCACATGACAGGTGGCAATGTAACAGTTACAGCTGCCTTCAACCACGAAGATACAGTTACCATAGCAGATGATTCTGTTCAGGTTTCCCCAAAGGAAGACCCCAAAGCTCGGAATTCCTTTGTTGGTGAACACCATGTATTTCCAGGTGAGACAACAAACCAGCACCCAGTGCTAATGGTGCATGTCCAGGATCCCATGCAATACTGCAGAGGATTGTGGATTACCTCTTAGATTAAGTGATGCAAATGCTTTCAGTGGCAAAAAGTTGGCACTGCTGAAATTACCAATAATCTTTCCTTATGTTTGAAAATTAAACATCTGGACAAATCTTCCCCCCCCCATCAAGTCACAGCCAATATATGGCTACTCCGTCGGGTTTTCCAGCCAAGAGACGTTCAGGGGTGTTTTGCCCTTGCCTGCCTCTGCATAGCAACCCTGGTCTTCCCTTGGTGGTCTCCCATCCAAACACTAACCAAGGCCAACCCTGCTTAGCTTCTGAGGTCTGATGCTTGCTTGGGCCACCCAGGTCAGGGCAGACAAATCTTTACCAATATGTAAAGAAAAGAATATGGTTTGAGAACGAGGCAGGTATTGGCCTAAAATTTTGCTGCTACTTGTAACCACAAAAATCTTACTACTTACTTTTGGTCCCCAAGCGTTGAATCTCTTCAACTAAAAGACTGATTTCATGTTCAACGTTCATTGTTGCCTACAAATGAATTATTATTTAATAAGTTATTACTTGTTCTGCTCAATCTTCTTTCATCTCTGTTCTATCCTAGCTGAGACTGAAACCCAAAGAAACAATTCACAGACAGAGCATGTAGAGTTCCCTTTGAAGTTTTTTTTTTCTGAAGCTGCTCCCTCTCCCAAAGAGGCAAGCCACCATTCAGTTTCCCCAAGCAGCTTGCCTCTTTGGAGAGCTGCTGAGAAAACTGCAGAGGAAAGTATGTGCTTTCAGTGTTCCCTCTAAGCTGAGTTAGTGTGAGCTAGCTCACAGTTTTTTAGCCTTCGGCTCACACATTTTTGTCTTAGCTCAGGAAGGATGGCTCCAGAGCAAACTAATTTATGCAGTAGCCACAGCTTAGAGGGAGCATTGTGTGGTTCCCTTATTCACACCCATCATTTTTAAAATCATACCATAAAATACAGTAGTCTTGCATATCTTGTTAACATAGTGGTTAACGTCCTTCACATTACTCATGAACTCTTCAAAATATTTACTGAAAACATGGTTTTTAATATTTTAAAATTGAAATGGTCTGAGAATGTAACAATTTTTTTTTTAAAAAAAAATTATTTTTGGATTTATATCCCGCCCTCCCCGAAGGCTCAGGGCGGCTAACAACGAGGCACAAGTGCCAGAGTTAAAACAGATAAAAACAGCCTAAAACAATAAGACAATATAATACAACAACAAAGTGTCAGTAGAAAAATGTTTTCTACAGCATCACATCTGAATTTGTTTTCTACGACATCACCTCTATTGAAAGCAACTTTGCCCTGTGAAATATTTGCTATGCAGCAACACAGATTTGTACAGATCTCCTCTTCCTAAGGGAGAACAAGAAAACACTGACCAGTTTCCAGGGTGTATAAGGGATGTTCATTATAATACTATTTGTGCTTGGATAGACACACAGTGTACGTGTTGGGGGCGGATTAAAACTACTAGAACTGTCAGTAGCTCATACTATTCTCAGTAACTATTTCTATATAGTTCGTCCAAGAAGAGCAGCCATTTAATCACATGTACATGACTGAAATGCATGCAGGGCATGTATAGTTAGGTACCCCTGTACAGGTACTGGCGCCCAGGTATATAATATACTGTATACCAACTACAGATCTGATGGTGTAGATGGTTGCTTTCTTCAGGCTTAGTCTACATTACGGGAAGAGTCATAAAGAGAATAGTATTTATTTGTCTTCATGAGTAGTGTGTGCCAATGTTCCCTCTAAGCTTCACACTGTTGTGAGCAGAAATTCTACCTCGTGAGCAAAAAAAGCTAGTAGCATTAAAGTTCTGGGTGAATCTACATTTGACTTGCATAAATTAGTTTTTTAGAAGATTACTTCCAAAACCTTGTAAAAATCTCAGAATAAATTCTTTTAAATTAGTTTTTTATTTATTTACTAAATTTATACCCCGCCTTTCCCAAATGGGCTCAGGGTGGGTAACAACAAAGTACATAAACAATTAACAACAAAGACACTAGACAATTAAAACCAATAATATAATTAATTCTTAAAACAGCTAACCCTTACACAATTAAAAGAAGGCGCATCAGGTGTAAACAGACCACCCCCGTAAGTTGGATTGATTGTACTGGAGCCATACCAGGTTCATATGGTATCAAACTCCACACAGGGCAAATAGTCAGGGCAACTTCTACGCAGGGAGGCCAACAAGTTGGGTGTCCACCACCTGAACTAAAAGCCTGGTGGAACAGCTCCATTTTACAGGCCCTGTGGAACTGTAATAGGTCCTACAAGGCCCTGATCTCAAGTGGGAGGCATGTTCCACCAAGTAGGGGCCAGGATAGAGAAAGCCCTGGCCCTAGTTGAGGCTAAGTGGGCATCCTTTGGGCCAGGGACAACCAGAAGATGTTGATCAGCAGAGCACAAGACTCTCCAGGGAGTATATGGGGAGAGGTGGTCCCTTAGATATGGAGGTCCCATGCCAGTCAGGGCTTTAAAGGTTAATACCAGCACCTTGAAATGGATCCGGTACTCAATTGGTAGCCAGTGCACTTAGTGGATCATGGGCTGAATACGCGCCTGCATGGGCGTCGCAGTCAGCAGGCAAGCTGCCGCATTTTGCACCAGCTGGATTTTCCGGGTCAGGTTTAAGGGTGCGCCTGTGTACAGTGAATTACAGTAATCTAGTGAGGGCAACCAATGCCGTCTCTGTCCCATGACCAGGGTGGAAGCCAGACTGGAATGGATCCAGGACAGATGCTTCACCCAGGAAAGCCTGAAATTGCTCAGCCACTGCCCTCTCAATCACCTTACCCCAAAAGGGCACGTTAGACACTGAATGGTTGTTGGACAAAACCGCAGGGCCTAAAGATGGTTTCTTCAGGAGTGGATGTACCACTGCCTCCTTCAACCTCACTGGGAAGGTCCCTGTTGAAAGGGACAAGTTGATGATCTCCTCCAGGGGGGCCTGCACACCATCCCCACAGGCCTTAATGAGCCGGGATGGGCACGGGGCAAGTGGTACGCCTAACAGTTGCTAGGATCCTGTTGACATCTTCCAGGGAGTCAGTTGAAATGGTCCAATGAAGGGCCAGAAGACTGACAAGGAGCTTCTAGTTCCCTTACTGTTTCAGTTGTGGTTGGGAGGTCGTGGTGGAGTGACATGCGAGGAAAACGCCTCACAGCCAATAGCTAATTCCCTATTATTTTGCTTACCTTGTGGCAATATTGTCAATGCTCGAATGATTCGCCGGGTGCGAGCTTGCAGATGCAATTTCGGCTGCATAGAACTCCTTCGCAGCCTTGGTTGCCATCTCATATGACTTCATAAACGTTCTATAGGATGCTCTTGACGCTTCGTCATGAACTCGCTGCCACTGTCTCTCTAGCTGTCTGAGCCTTCGCTTCATCAGCCTTAGCTCCTGGGTATACCAAGGAGCCAGCCTTGTGTGAAGCGCAGAGGGCGTCTGGGAGTGATCTCATCAATGGTCGCCGAGAGTCGGCTATGCCAGTCCTCAACTAGCTCATCTAACAAGCCGCCAGGGGACAATGGATCCCGGAGAGCCATCTGAAGCCGCGAAGGGTCCATTAGGCTCTGCAGGCGAGCATAAATCCACTTGCCACCTAAACAGGGAGGGTTTGGTATGCCCAGCTGGACCATCAAGGTGTAATGATCTGACCATGGTACCGTCTCCACAGCTTCCAGATCAACATTTATCCCCATCCCAAAAATCAGATCCAGTGTGTGGCCTGCTTGATGCGTGGGAGTCAATATAAAATGGGAGAGTCCCAGAGTCTCCATGGATGACACCAGGTCTCTAGCCTGAGAGAACGATACAGCATCGGCATGAACACTGAAGTCCCCCAGGATCAACAGCCTGGGGTATCCCAAAGTCCAGCCCGATACAGTGTCCAACAGGCCGGGCAGGCTGTTTGGTGGTGCGTTAGGCAGTCAGTACACCAGCCAAACAGCCAAATTCTCCTCGGCTTCCCATGCCAGGCCAACACATTCAATGCCAGCTATTTTTGGCGCAGGGAGCACCCTGAAGGAAAAAAGATTCTTGGATAAGCAATGCCACTCCCCACCCACCCCGCCCATTAGCCAGGGACTGGTGGAGGACTGAGAACCCAGGTGAGGTAAGCTGGGTCAGGGCGACAGTTTTGTCCTCTCTCACCCAAGTCTCAGTCACACAAGCCAGGTCTACATTTCGCTCTGCGAGATAGTCTCGAAGAACGGTGATCTTATTATTAATAGACCTGGCATTGCACAACACCAGCGTCAGAGAAGGTATCTTTCCTTAGTCCCACAACCAGCATTTCTTGGGATGGGATGCAGGTGGGAAGAAGTCTGAGCCTTACCATATCTCCAGTTTCTTCCATTCCTCCTAACGGAATTCCACCTAGACCCACCACTATATCTCCCCCGCTCCCCTATTACTGGCATCCCTGACCCCTGCATGGCTTCCCCGTGTGGTCTTATCGGCCCAATAATAGCCCAACTAAGTGTCCAGCAAGAGGGTCAACAGAGCCTTACCTGTAATCTAACCTTCCCAATAAAGCTCACAATAATCCAAATTATACAGTCAAGGTTAACACAGTATCCACAATGTTAACTATACCACTATTCTAAGATAAACACATACAATCATACAATTAATAGATAACACCTCTACTACTAACCCTCCCACCCAAACCTCTCTACTTACTAACCCTCCCTCCCACTAGCAAGACTGGACAATTTTATATAATGGGTGGGAAAAGAGGAATCTCCCCATCCCCTTGTCTAATTAAATCTGACCCATTCATCCTAACTAACTAAAAAACCTCATGAAACAATTTAATAGTTCACAGCACCATTAGATGTTACTGGGTAGTCAGAGGTGTTCTGTGAGCCGTAACAGGAGCAGTCAATGATAGGAAAGGAGATCAAGAATCTTTTATAATACTCCTTCCAGCCTGGACACTCGCAGTTCCACCCTGGACCCCTGAGGAGATGGTCCAAACCTGACCACCACCAGACATTCACGTCTGCACAAACATGAATGTTAATGGAGCCTCGGGTTCCATTTAAACTATATTTAAACAAGAATTTAAACATTATAATAGAAAACAGAATCAAGTCAAATTTCACCCACCCATTTCCACTATATTGGTAGACCTGGCCTCCAGAGAACAGGTCTACCCATCCCTTGCCACTATATTGGTAGACCTGGTCTCCACAGAATAGGTTTACCCACCTCTTTCCACTATATTGGTAGACCTGGCCTCTGGAGAATAGTTCTATCTGCCCCAGTCCACTATATTGGTAGACCTGAGCTTGGACCATTGTCCTGTGCTCAGCCTTAGAAAATGTATCA